GATAGGTAATTTAATTTTATACTTGAATAATTAATTTATTCAGTGCTAACCTTTACTTTTGTCTTAAATCTTACAAACCTTATGGGTATGAAATAGCAATGATTATTACAGTAAGATATAGCACACAATGCAGTCATAATATTATTATCAGTGGCATAATAATTTTTTAACTGTCTTGCAACTTCTGTAAAAAAGCATTCTGATCTGAAATAATTTTTCCAAACAATTTTTCATGATTTGAATTTTCGTTTTCATTTTGAAACTTTTTCATCCTCTGTAAAGTTCAAAATTTTTTGAAACCAACATTTTTATTTAACTACGTAAAATTTACTGCAAAAAAAAACTTCAAACTCTATTTTATAAATTTTACGTGTCTTAATAAAATAAACATTTCTACATTTTATTACAAGTAGATTTAAAATAATTAATGCGTGAAATATTTTTTATATTTTAAGTTAATTGCAAACAATATCAATAATGTACGTTGTTTTGTAAATTTAAATTCAAAATATTAAAAAAAGAAATTTTTCTGAGAATATTTTTATTATTTAGCAAATTTATCAATGCATTTTCTAATTTTGAGCAATTTTGTCAATGCATTTCTGATTGAAACGGCTACTGTATGATAAGACTATCGTATGATAAGGCCATTGTATGATAAGTTTTCTTTGTATTACAAGAATAAGAATTTTGAGTTTATAATTACTATAAAACCTTGTGTCACCCTTGACAAAGAAATAACCTCCAGCAACCATACCATCTAATAATCCCTGATCGCCTTCTTGATCAAACAAGAGATTTCCATTTGTACCAAGCAGTTTATCAGTATCTACTTTACAGTACACACAAATTTTGTTTTTTCAAGCATGGAAACAAATAAATTCTCTTAAATTTTTGCTAATATTTTTTGAAAACCTTATGTAAATTTGCATATCTCATTTACAGCTTCATTTTTTTTTCAAATAGTTATCAAATTTTAATCTGAAATGCAACTTTCGCTCAATTTAAGACCAAAAACGATCAATTTATCAATTTAATGTGATATTAAGGTTTTAAAGTTTATTTATTACTGTTTAAATGCTTCACTGCAATGGTAATTACTAGATATAAACCTTTGCACTTAATGTAAAATAATGTTAAACAAACTTATAACGTAAGTATTAGTAATAACAATTATAATATCAATAAGGAAAAAATTGTTGATAGTTATAATATAATAACTAACAGTAATATTATAGATTCATTTTCATTAAGTACTTACGACTGCCATTACAATCAAATTTAATCCAAACAAAGCAAACTTTAATCTAAAGGAGCAATAACTTTATTATAACTTTATTATTTCGTTATCACAACTTTATTATTGATATTAATATTATTGTTATTATCACTATTAATATTATTAGCAGCAGTCACAGACTCTTATTTTATAATATTTAAATAAAAAGTTTTTTGATAACTTTCTGCTCAAACTCACTAATCACTTCAAATATATTTTTACGCCATAAAGTATCTGTTTGAAACATCCAAAAATCACGTTTGATACTAGCCAAATATGCGCTTAAATTAGCACGCCAGTACATAAATACTTGATAATGTGCATCACCGCTTTTGAACTTGACATCCTGTAGTTAGAAACATCACTGTACAAAAATATAAGATCAAATAGTAATAATATTTCAAAAATAACTACAATTTTTAACAACTTTGCTAAATTTCAGGCATGTTTAATTATTATTATTCATTTTACTTGTTTAAATTTTTTGATAAACTTTGACGATTTTAAATTTTGTCAAAATTTTGTGAATTAAAAAAGCTGCAACGTGAAAGTATACAATTCACCATTTCTGGTAATGGCCAAAGTAAAACTTTTATTTTTGGCCAGAGTTTTGAGATTGCGTCAAAGGCCACGTAGTCGAAAGCAAATATGATCAATCGATCATGAACACTTGCAAAAGTTTTTACATTACACAACCAATTCAAAGTTAAGTTTAATGCATGCTGAAAAAAAGGGACATTTAATAAAAAGGCTGAAAAATCATTTCAAATTATATAAAGATAAATATTTGAATTTCTAATTATTACCGAATTCAAAATAAGAATTGCTGGAGTGCCGCTTATTTCTGCTAAAGCCTAAAAATGATATTATTCAATATCATTTATTTATAGTCTTTTATTTTTAATATAGCAAAGTAAAATATTCTCAAATTTATAAAAGAAATGAAACAAAGGTCAAAAAATACTTCATATTTGACCTGTATCTTTATTAAGCTTCATATTTGACCTGATATCTTTATTAAGCTTCATATTTGACCTGATATCTTTATTAAGCATGCAAAATATTCTTTGAATAAAAAAAATTACTTCTTGTAGTAAATAGTTTTCTCGAAAGACATCTACGTGTAGCTCATTCTCGTACACGTTAACGTCATGCAATCCGTAATAACTTATGTCATACTTCTCGTGGACAATGTGAAAAATAAATAAATAACAAATATAATACCACTTGAAAGTCAAAAATTTCATCCGTTTAACAAATTGATAGCAAATATGATTAAATTTGTACCATTTTTTTATCACTAAATAATAATTTATCTTCCTGTAAACAAAAATAATAATATTTTAGTCAGAAAAAAAATCAACTACTTTTATCAAAAAATGCCTGCAATATTTTCAAAGTCAAACTGATTTGTAAGAATACAGTTCAAAGGTCAAACATTTTTGAGCTAATTGGGCTGAAATCATCTCTTCAAATAATATTTTCACAATTTTTATTTGAAAAGTATCATTCTTCAACACAATTGGCATAGTTGAAGAACTTTAAAGTTTTTAAAAATTAAATATGCCAGAAATACTCACTCATTCATGCAAGCAAAAGAAATGATTATTCCTAAATATATCGTAAAAAACAAAATGTATTCAAACAAAAGTTATATATTATTGTAAATGGTTAAATTTCAGAATCAAATCATTGACATAATATGAGATTAAATACAAATTCTAAAAATATTGACCTAAATAATTGAGCCAATGTCAAAAATTAGTGATAATCATCAGTAATTTATCAAAGATATATTACGCACTGCATTTTCAAATCAAATTCGTATTCAAAATTGAAATAAATGTAAATTTAATGCCAATTTGTGGAAAAAGATTTATTTCAGTATTGAAAAGTATTCAAATATTCAGAATCACTCTCGAAAAAATATGCAAATTATGACAGAAATCCCATAACATTCAAATTTAATTTTAATTCTTATCAAAAATCTTCACTTAAAGAAAAATGCAATAAATGAAAAAGCACCAAAACATTTTATGAATTAACAATATATTCGACAAAACTTTTCAGTATCCAGAATACAAATAGAATAATACTCTAAAAAGCACACTGTTTATTGTTTACTTAATCTATGGTAAGAATTAGCGTAATTTCAAATTCTGAAACTGAAAAATACTTTTTCCATACACAAAATTATTTCTAAACCGCAGGTGATAGCTAAATAATTTCGGTACTTTAATTCTTTAAGATCATTTTTGCGCTACACATTTAAATTAGGTCAATTTTCATTCAAATTCATGGTTATCGAACTCGATTTTATTGCCAGACATGCCTAGCTTTCATATTTTTAAATAATCGAGATTGTAATAAGTAATAGACTGAATTCGAATAAGTAATAAATTTAATTCTCATAAGATTGTAATAAGTAGTGGATTTAATTTCACTTTCGTTCTTTATGAGGATTGCATATCCAAATCTATGTACAAATATTTTCTTCATATATTGGGAAGCACTATTTCATATGCAATTAATCCTACTTACTCATTAATCATAAATGCTGAAGCATATTTACTCGTTGGCTCACATCTCAAGACATCTATTCGGATATGAATACAACAGGCTATAATTTTAATGTCATTCATCATTACAGAAATCTAAAGGGAAAAAAGTTCACTACTGGCTTGACTTTTATACTTCTATATGACTCTATTTTCTAAAACAACTTCCCAACGTCATTGATGAGATCAAATTCTTTGACCAGCCAGCATAATTTACAGACTAGACTTTGAAATAAATCTCCTCCTTTATTCCAATTAATTATAATTAACAAGCTGTACTGTAGATTTCTCATTGAATATTCCTAATTAACTGCTCTACTGCTCTCACCTATATCCAATAACAAAACGAGAATTCCAACTTGATATTTAAATACTAAACATATAATACAAAAAATTAGTACTAGTTGCATAAGCGACTTTCCAGTCTTTAAATAAATCGTTAGTCAGTAATTTCATATTTGATATCTATGCGCATTTCCACGAAAAGAAAAACGCCATAAAATGGCACACGGAATCTTCACTTAAAATAATCACTGCTAACGAACATGGCAGAACGTAAAATATACCTCGTACATCCACAAACCATCTTAGTTTACTAACTAACGAAAGTTGATGCTTATGTTTGACAGCATTAAAAGGAATTAATTACGCCTTCAAGAATGGAATATATGGACTGAAAATATTAGAAACTGTAAAACTATCAAGACCATAAATTTTTTATTTTATTATAAATAACATAACACAAATATCACAGTTTTTCTTTGAAGTTAATGCGATAATGCAAAGATTATTTTCAAATCACCACTAAAATGACCCATAGTAATAAACAAATTATATATTGTCTTCCGTATTTTTACCAATTTAACTTCCCCTTATTTTGATAGCACTGATCTTCATTTCATGTATTCCTACTTGATTCTAATCACCGTGAGAAGTTTTTTGACTAATTGATAACGAAATCCATCTTCGTCTTTAAATCTGAAACTCACCATTAATACTATTCCTGATTTAAAATCATTTTTTGAAGAAATTATTATTTCAGATGTTTGATTCAATATTACAGCTGTTAAAGAAAGATATCATATTAGATGAGACTAGCAACGTAATTTTACAAGGAATATTCCAATTAACTTTTATTCATGTAATATGTAACAAAAATGAAATGAAATATTTTTTTCTCCTTTTGTTTACATAGTTTTAGTAACTGCTACCCTACTCAACTAAAGCCTTCCAATTTTAAATACTATAAACAAATTAGTATTCTTTTAGCTAACAGATGTAGGTGAAGAGATATGACGATCTACAGGAGCTGTTTCTCGATGCGAAGACCGACAACATTCGTATTTTACAGACTTGTATGTTATTGCTGCAGCAAATATCAAACCAACTACGACAAAATAACACCCATAAACGAAAAACTGAAATGTAGCCGTATCTGCTTGCTTCTATATACATTGCTGCAGAATATTAAACATTGCAATATTTCTTTTAAAGACTCCTGATTCTGTTCCAATTTTTTAATCTTTGAATTTGCGAAATTGTATTTAGAACATCTTTGTATAAAAGTATGAAGTACTTCTTTAATTCATTAGAATGATTAATTTAAAATAAATAAATATAATACCTGGTCCCGGATTGATAACGAAAATCCATGTTTGTCTGCAACTGCTAATGTAAGAAGAGCTTGCAAAACTAATGCCGAGAAAGTATTCCATCCAAATATGAGTCCGTAGCTTGCAGAATCTAGCTTTGTTGCTATATTGGAACTAAAGCTTGCATTATAATTAAGTTCGCTATTTTGCGCCTACTGTTAAAAAATTTCATTAAAAAACTCTTTTTTTCGTACACAGAATAAAAGGCATAAATGGACATATGATTTAATTTAAAAATTTTGTTCTTTTTCAACTGAAGCTGAAACACATAAAATATAAAATGAATACCAACCTCGCAACAGTTATAAGAAAATTGTAAATCGTTATAATTACGATGTACACTACGTATGAAATATGGACCATTTTTGTATATGATAATACAATAAGTAAAATTGCAATTACTGCTGATGTAACAAAAAGTATATGTTCACCATAAGCAATCCAATTTACATTGATATACTGCACCACAAAGCTAATCAGAGCTCCTGTCATAAATGATCAGAAAAATTAATCACATTTCACACAATTTCCATACTTGTTTTTTTCAAATCACAACTAACTTGGTTCTATTGTCACAGAATTTCTTTTTTAAATATACGATCTAAAGGTTTTTAAAAGCAAGGCTTGATAAAAAACAAATTGTAATTTTGAATAAAGGTACCAATTTTGGTACGTTATTTATTAAAGCAATGAAGCTGGCAATCACCTTTGTTTTTAGGCTAACAACACAATTCTAGCTTGAGAGACAAGAAAAAATAAGGAACTTATTCGTACCAATAAGTGTATTTGCACATTCTGTGAGGCCATTATAAGTATCAGAACTTGTTTGCATTGTAGCCCACAATGTTTGTACATAGTTCATAACCTGACCTCAGTCTCATGTCAAAAAACTTGAAAATTGAAAAAAAATATTAACTAAATATGTAAATGATTAAGAAAAATCTTATAACAAAAATAAATAAATGAAACCTGGAAGATACCACAGCTAGCAAGAGCCCACCAAATACTCCATTTCAAAACAGCCCTATCTCGTTTGAAAATTTTCATGTGATACCAAACTGCGCGAAAGTAAGCAGAAAGCCCATAATCGATATTAAGCGGTTTTGCATCTAAAGCTCTTCTAAAATGATTTCAGATTGGAAAAAAACTGCGCGAATACTCCAACAAAATATGCCCTTCAAAAGCGAACAGAAATATAATAGCTAGAAAATAATGAGGAACTACTGAATCTTAAATAGTTATAAAACTTTTTAAATAAAAAAATCAGCCGAGAAGTTTCAAGGAATAAGATTAAATCACTAAGGTTATGAAGTGTAGGTTTCCCATTATAGTGATTACTTTTCCTCAGAATCTTCTTCCTTCGATGTCTCATCTTCATATTTTCTCGAAATCCCATAAATTTTCAATCCACTGTTTTCATTTTCAATCTTATTCTTGATTATTTTTGAAGGTATTGGTGGCAGAAAAGCAGCGATAACAAGAACAGTACAAACGGAACCGAAAGATATCTTAACTAATAAAACAGAACGTCGATTAAAATATTTTCATTAACGCATAAAAATTATAGCAGTAAAACTGGCTAAATATTTTTATCACAGTATCCATCTTACTTCAAATTTGAACACTCTTAAAAAGACAATTTACAAAAAAATCTCACGCTATCTGTCAGGCCCATTGACTGCATAGGGTGAATATTAAATATTAAGCATACCTGATTTAATGACAGATATGATCCGTATTCAAATGATATGAGAAACTGAGAAAGACCAAAAGCAAAAAATTTCCCAACTAGAGCAGCAGCCCTTATGTACGAAGTTACTAGCTTGTACCGTTTTTGATCAACCACAGCATACATGTAAGAAAAATAGGCTATTTCGGAAGCAGAAGATATCCCTGCAAACAAGTGAACATGTTCCATTCTACTTTCAAGAAATTAGTAGTAGATTACACTTATAACTTACTGATTACTTCTCTGTTAAAAATCTTAATAGTCTTCAAGCTAATATTTTTAGTTTTTAATTCTTTCAATTTTATTCCCGTCACATTTTAATCTACATTTAAAAAACACCAATTATTTCGTTAAATAAAGTACGAAAAACAAAGAAGACAAGCAGAAACAATAAATAATGTATATACTTGATTTTTTCTCAATTGTTTTTCACCTGAGATTTCACACAACTAAAAAAAATATTTTTTCTTTTTTTGTATTTTATGTAAGCAAATTTGCAATGACTGTAATATATCTTACCAAAAATTATTTGCATTACTTGCATCTGCCACAAAGTCTGGCCCCATAGCAACAGTGCCCAAGTTCCACACAAAGAAAAAGCTTCCAACATCACAATTGGTTTGTAGCGCAAAATATCAGTCAAGAAAAATATAGGCACCTGCAAAAGAAAATGCTTCCCATGCTACAACGTAGAAATTGAATAATAATTCTACCTCACAATAAACTATTCCGGAAACGTTGACAATAACTCAATGTTAAAGTTTTCAGAGTGTTTAACAGCTATACGGCATTACTGTAATCACTTGTCAGAATACTTTAATAAATAAAAAACATATAAACTATTCCTCACAAACATTCTCTATTTATTTTGGTAAATGCATTTAAAATAGTCTAAAATTCAAAGATGAAAATCTAAATTCAAAATAAAAAAACAAACTAAGGCAAAAAGATAAGCGTAGGTCCAAAAAGGATAAATTTCACTGTATAATTCTACATCCGTGAAATTTTTAAACGATGAAACAAGATATGGAGTAAGAAAAGGTGTTGCAGGTCGAAATTCCTTCACAATTCCATATGCACAGATAAGTGTTGTTGTTACTTTCCAGTGCATTTTCCATGAAACAAACTAAATTCAGAGATTAAATAAGATACCATAATTATAAATACTAATTGTTGCATTAAATTTCGAGCACGTAGATACCACGTTATTTGCATTATGCAATATGAGAATTACAGCTGCAAATAACTCAGAAAAGATAATTAA